TCACAATTCGAACTATGAAAAGGGATGTCGTAATAATATTACAAATTCGAGAATGCAATTAACACAACCACTAACCATAATGATATTTAAAATCTATTAGTGAAAGTGCTTCCATATAATCAGTCTCATTAATTAGAGCGAAAACTTTTGCCACCTAGATTTTATGGTGTATAAGTTCCAATCCATGTGAATCTATCATTTCAAACCTACAATAATAAGATAAGGTTAAGGACAAAACCAAACTTAAATTTGGCTTTCCTTTCATGGACTGAACTTCTCTTATTCTAAATTTCTTGCCAGCTGGTAGGAAAAGGGCTTATCAGTGCTTCCATGTTGTTAAGCAGCTCACCCATATTAACTAATGTACTTTCAATGACCACCGTGCTCTGCCTTTTGCATTCAAATGAGAACCATAGAACTCATAAGAATTGCTAACTCAACTAGAAGGTGCACAGAAATAAGAATGTGTCAAATTAACACAATAGGTTATCAATCTCAACTCATGTGCTAGTGATAACTAAAAGGTTTATACTTGATTGACTCCTAAAACTTTTCAAGATCAATAAGACTCCCAATGACTTCTTGACATATAAGTTTCTCTTTAAAGGAACATTCCTTGACGAGCTAAAACAAATATTCAAAAGTTAGTATGGAATCCTGACAAGAAACACTTCATAGAATTGGTTTTAGTTTATCCTTTGTTTTAACCAAAATATCACAACTTCCAGTTCCAAATGTGCTAGAGTAAGAAATGTTGTTACTCCACATTTCATGAGGTGTTATAAACCTACTTATTACGAAATAAGTTTTCAAGATACGGTCTTTAGTAACTAGAGCATGACTCTAAAACTTGATTGGAAACGAAGTGTGACTCATCTTTTGATTGAACCATTTTAACAATATCTGATTCCTCTTGTTAGTCAAACAGTTGCACCAAGATGTTCTTCGAGGATCAACTGTGATATAGTTCCATAATCATAAGATGATCTTAAAGCATGATACTAAAGTACTCTCATTTCCTTTCAGATTTGAGATATTTTTATCTTTCTGCCTAATAGATTCTTCATATTCGTTCTAGTACTCTTTGAAACTTTTCAAAGTATCAGAATTATGTTTAATCTTATAAACACAACCATGTTTACCGAAACATCAGTAATTCATGACGAACAATGTTATCATCCTTTCTGGTGGATCTGAACAGTCCATATCAACATGAACTGAATCCATTAGTCCTTCACCTTGACTCACATAAAACATGTGATCAATGACTTGGTCATAATTTCCCAATGATCAAGATTCTCATGCATCAAACAATTCGGATTGCATGACTCCAAGTTTCTATCCAATTGAAACTTGGGCGATGAGAAATCTTTATCACTTAGTCAATTGTGACATTTCCACAAATAAAAAAAAGAATCAAATCCACAATTAATATTGCTAATAATAGAAATGTAAACACCAATTTTCATAAATGTCATTGCATGGAAATATAAAGTAAACCAACTTAAAAAACCAAAATTTCATTTTTATTGATAATAAAAAAAAAATTTGGAACTTGTCCTTACAATTCATATAATGAAAACTATGTTTCTAGATATTTCCTAAGCAATCTATTAAATTATCATAACTCTTAAGTAGTAGCTTCCAAAATATGATCATCGAACCATGCGACAGAAATCCATCTCTCACGGCCAGATTCAGATTTTTCTTCTTAAGCTTCCTTCTTTCTCTTAGATCCTACATCAAAATGTGACCATCACATCATGTATTAAGAATCTATGAATAGGAACTTATTTAAATAATGGATTTGGATAATGGATGTACCTGAAGTAGAGTCACACGATTTGACTTTACCATCTCTAAGATCTTTCAGGTAATCTGGGAAACTTCGCAACCAATGCCCCTTCAATTGGCAATAGAAACATATGGACCTTTTAGGATTAGTACATGGAACTATCTCAGAACTATCCTTTCTCTTTACCATACGATCAAATGGTTTGACCTTGGTCGATCCCTTTCCACTGGGAAAAGAAATATTTTCTGGACCACCATTGTCAACATTGTCAATGTCCATGCAAATTCAAGAATTAGATCCCTCAAACACTTTTGCTTCACTTGTGCTCTTAAGCATTTCTGCATCAACATCAATTAACATATGTGTCAGATCAATTAGGGTCATGTCGTGGCTGCTAATATAAAAGTCCTCAATGAACTGACTATATGACCCAGGAAGCAAAAATAGAACCAAATCAATGGCCTGCTCCCTTGGGAAAACAACACCCATCCTTTCCAATTTGTCAGTGTATGATTTCATTTTCAGAACATGCGTACACACATAATTTCCATCTCAATATTTACATACCAATAGGGCTTGAGTAGTTTCATATCTTTTAACTCGTGACGTAGGAAGAGTCACTAGAGGAGGATGAGGAGGAGGAAGAAGAGTTGGAGAAGCATGATATCTATTTCCACCATTGCTTGAAGAAGGGAACATACTTTCACCTTGATGAGAATGTGGAAGATCATCTTCAGAAGGAAGAGGAAAACCATTTCCAAAAGAACGGGGAAGACCATTGTTGTCTGAAATTGACATCTATAATAGGAGAAAAGAGAATTCAAGTTAGTTGATTTTAATCCTTAATTATTAACCCATAAATTTTAAATTGAGGTTAGGATCCATATTTTCGATTCGAACGTTGAAGAGGGATGTTGTAATCAAATTCGAATCTATTTTAGGTAGGTAAGGCTTTTACCAATTTCAATCTTATGAAACTCCTAGATCATTTGAGATTCATTGAATCAATGGCATGTTTAATCTCGATTATGCTGTCACTTTTGTGACTGGGATGTCGAGGATCACAAACGAGATGTGAATAACCATGCAAATTAGCTTGGTACTCTCGAAGTCATTTACCATCTCGTTGTAATGTACCAATTAACCACACGCTCTTCATTAATCAACGATCGTTATCGAGATGCCCATTACCACCCTTTATTAGTCTCTTATTAGTGTACCGGTTAACAACACACGCTCCACTAACGACTCATAAAGTGTAATGTGCAATTTCGTGGATTAGCATACAAATTCACATTTTCCTAACGTAACTAAGAGTGGGATTTTAGAAAATAGTTTAGTTACTTTTTATCATTATACCTTTAATGAGGTTATGTCCTATCAAACTCATTCGGCTAACGACCTCCACCATACAAGAGAGCAGTGGGTAAGAATGGATACATAATGTCGGTCATTATATAAGTCGCTTCCTTAAACTCGTCTTATAGTATGGTTTCGTGAATGAGGCGTAGTAGCAGTTCGACTGACTTTTCTTATACATATATTATATATTAAACTTTAATTATATACATAGTATAAGGTGTGTTTTAAAACATTTTAAAATTGCAAGGGTTTAATCTTTCAATAAATTAAACTTTTAATTTAATTAAATTTAAATTTTTTATGGATTTATTAATTATGTTTTAATTAATTACTTAATTAAATTAATAATAAGATCCATAAGGATGTATTTTAAACTTTTCAAAATATCATGTTTATGATAATCTATAAAATAAACAATATAATATTTGACATTAATTATTAAGTTCCATTTAATATTTAGATCTGTTATTTAAGCACTTAAAAAATCAATTATATTAATCACAAAAAAAATAATTATGTCAAATACCAATCTCCTTAATTATAGGCTTTTAATTTATCATGCTACATATACCAAAATCGGATTTGGGATAAAATATGGCAAGGATTTATCACACAAAAGCTGTTAACACAGATTTGGTCCAGATTTTCAGATCTGGCCGAACTCACGTCGTGAGCCTCTATGCTCACGTCGTGAGCTGCAATTAAACCTAAACTGGTTTCTTTTCTGATTCACCAATGTTCAAATAATTGAAATACAATCTTAGGCTCTGATACCACTGGTGGTTTTTTGGGGTTACAAGTTCAATGCCATAAGCGAAAAATAATCAAAAACAATTTCAATTAATTAGGGCACATGCAACCTAATTTGATCTATGGCTTTCAAGTATAGCAACATACTATGAATGTATAATCTACAAAACTTTCCTATGAACAAACTAATTCATAATATGAGCAAACTAACCTTAAAGATTGTTATTGTAAATAATCTTGAATCCTTACTTGAAAATCCTTTGGTAGCAAGCGCCACAAGTGTCGCGTCTCTACTGGTTCACACCCAAGGCAAACAACTAAGGATTATGGAGAGAGGAGAATAGAATTTCGACCATAAGTCTTCCCAAGGAGTAGGTCACGAAATTGTGAGGGTTTAAGGCCCTTTATATATGTTAGGTAGCTTAGAGCCAAAGCTAGTGTTTAAGGATGGAAACCCTAATCCATTTGCTTAGTGACTAAGCAACTCATGAGCCTCCTATCTAGGATGGCTTGGACGAAAATTCTAGGCCCTTCCTAGAAGTTTTCTTCCAACCCCTACAAGGAGGTTCTAGAGCCTCTTTCCTCAACTATCAATAAATTGCCAAACCGCCCCTACACTTTTAATTAATTCAATTAATCCTAAAATTAATTCCAATTAATTTCAGACTAACTGTTAATTAAATATTATAATTTCTAATTAATATATTATTCTCATAATATATTAAAAAATTATATTTTTCCAATTTATTAGTCCAATAATAAATTATCTCTCTCTCTCTCTCTCCAATATAATTTTGTCCAATTGTTAGCTTTGAAGGTAACCCAAAATGATTGTTCTACTATCAATTCAAGTTAATACCAATTATAGTTATTAGTTTAGACACCTAATCCAATAATATATATATATATATATATATATATATATATATATATTCACACACATACGCATACACTACAAGAAACAAGACCTATAGGGACGACAAATGTCGTCTCTATAGGTTAAAAAATCGTCCTTATAGGTGTCCGGGAAGACATGTCGTCCCTATAGCTCTCGTCACTATAGCCCCATCGTAATAGATCTTTTTGGTCGTCACTATAAATATCGTCGCAATAGGTATCCTTCAGAGACAATATGTCGTCCTGCTTTGGTTCGTCGCTATACATGAGCAAAAATCCTTTAATGCACATACTAATTTCACGAGGTGGATACGAATTCACATACCTTGATCATCTACCTGCATTGGAGTTGCATATTGATTATTAGAGGATACTGAACCGTGTTCCCTATGAACAGGAACTGAAGAATTTGATGCCACTCTTCCATTAACAGAAGGTGTAGTACCTACAGTACATGAATGTATGGTTAAGTAAAAAAACTGGAAAGTAAATAAAAGATGGTAGAAAGTTGTTAGTATTGACAAATCTCCTTTAATACACATTAATTTATGAAGCAAATATGATTTCACATTCACATACCTTGGACATTTACATGTATTGGAGTTGCACTTTGGGATACAGTGTTAGCCATGCAACACGAGTAGCTCTAGTTGCTAAAGAGGGTGAAACTCATGTTCTTGTTCTGAAATTAAACACAACATAGAAATTAACAGTAATCATATACAAAGAAAACTTGAATTAACAAAAATCACTTTCATTATATATATCCATCTTTATTGTCTCTGCTTTCTGCTCTAATCTTTAATGGTTGTACTCTTGATCAATGAGTAAACCGGAAATGAGAAACACCAATATGTTCACACAACAAAAAATTGTGTTTTTACTCCAAGAACAAATGAAAAAAATGAAAAAAAAAATGAAAAAAATGAAAAAGAAAGTATTACCACATGAAAAAATGTTCATCATCAACTAACCTTTTGCCTCTTGGAGGCTTATTGACTTCATTAACAAGTCTTTGCCTTGCTACATCCAGCTCCTCAACCAGTCCTCCTAAAACTTGAGACACTTCCAGAACCAACATTAGTAGCCCATGCCTTACATTTACATTAGAAATAACACCCTAAAACAGAAAAATTGATCTGGATTTAATTTGTTATGAACAAGAATGTGTAGCAGTTGTAAATTATTCCAGTGAGTGTGAGAACTATAATATAGAACCTTCAATCCAGCATGTGAAAGGGCATCTAGATCTTTAATAGGCTAGTATTCTATGTCAAAGATTCGTTGAACACCATCAGTCATAGACAACTTGTATCGCTCTCGAAGAGGTTGACTAATATTTACTATCTCATCAACCCGCAAAAACAAATTTATATCAGTTTGAAGCATATGGAAGCCAATCCCTAATGGTATTTTAACATATATAACCTATGGTCCAGAAAGATTCTCACAACATAGAATACTCTTACCTAGAATGTGATCAAGAGTTATTAGATTGATTATGTTAATGAAAGTAGAAATTAATGGAACATAATGTAGATGACAATTGTTTCAAGGTCTGCTTAGTGTGCTTATCGGTTCTTTTTGTTGCTTAAATTTAAAGTATAGTGTGAATTTAAGCATTAAAAAAACATTACGCATACCTTGACATAATGGTGATATAGGATGAATTATGTACCATTTTTGGTTTGTATGAATCAGCTAGACCACTGATGGATGCATAACTGAAAATATATAATGAAGTAGAGCATTATAAAAGAACTTATTAAAGTCTAAGAGAGTAAAAAACAATTGAGTCGTTTTAGAAATGAAAAAATCTAACACAATAAGAGATTATAAATGGAATAATTATAGAAAGTGTTGAATTTTTTACTGTTTCCTCATATATATAAACGCAATGCAAACTGAGAACTGCAACAGTGAAAAAGTAAAGAAGGATTGGGAATAATTATGAGTACATATTGTTTTCCTTATCGTGTTTACGTTTCTAACCAAGACAAACAACATAAAAAGCTATCTGAAAGAAAAACGAGCATGAAAATACCTCTTTTTCAATCAGTTTGGTGAAGAAACGTTCGGCCTGAACTGCAAGAGATGTCGCCACGGTTGTCGCGCCACACCAGAACACCGCCTTTGATGTCGAGGAGGAACAGCGCAGAGGCCGCCCCTGCCATCAATTATCCGCAGCCAGGTAGATCTGTGTTGATTGATTCCGAATTAAGATCAGATCTGTGTTGATTGATTCCGAATTAAGATCTAGTTCTTGATTCCGAATTAAGATCCGGTTTCTGGTCGATCGAGAAAGAGCCTGAGGTGAAAATGAAGCCGATAGTTAGAATCGTCGGCGTTGAAGCTAATCGTCGGCGGTCTTCGACAACTAACATGAGGATCGAGAGAGAGGAAGAAGATTTACCGGGAGTGGGAGGTAAGGAAGTCGACAGGGGAGAATTGTCGATCGAGAGAGAGAGAGAGAGAGAGAGAGAGAGAGAGAGAGAGAGAGAGAGAGAGAGACTGATGATTGAGCGTGCGTGAATGAAACGAAGGGGGCTGCTCTCCTAATTACAGGCATAGAAAGCTATGGGGAAGACAAATCGTCCCTATAGTTATCCCCAAAACGATTTATTTCCATGAAGTGATTAAAAAAATATGTTATTTTTAATTTCCGTTATTTGTTAGAGCGATAAGTCGTCGCTACAGGTGTTTCAAGAACGCGCCAAATCCACTTCCTTTCCCGCTTAAAATGCTGAGACGAGAAGTTGTCGCTATAGCTTCAAAAGTCAAAAAAGTTTTCCCTATAGGTAGCCAATAGGGACAACAAATGTCGTCCCTATAGATGCTTATTGTTGTAGTGATACACACACGCGTACGCGTGCGCGCGCGCGCGCACACACACACACACACATATATATATATATATATATATATATATATATATATATATATATATATATATATATATATATATATAAAAGCATACCCATACATACATACATATTTCCCCTTATTATCATTATTTTTTATTATTTATGCATTACACGTAGAATGTTTCCCCTTATTGATGTGTTAACCGTAGTTTTTTTTTCATTTGTTTGTGTTAAACACATTCGTTAGTATTATTATATATTTTCATTATTCTATAAATATTGTTATTTTTAGTACTATTAGTATGATTTTTAATTGTTTGTGTCTTAAATATGTAAAAACTTAAACAAAAAAATATGTTTTAATACTCGAATAATGGAAAATAATACTAAGCAGAGTAGTAATAATAATAATAATAATAATAATAATAATAATGAAAATTATGAACATGTTGGTATTTCGTGGCTATTCTGTGGCTAATCTCCTCCGTCGCTATTTTGTAGCTAATTACTGACGAAATACTTATGGATTTACTTTTGTCGTTATTTTGTAGCTAATTACCAACGAAATACCTACAGATTTACTTTCCTCGCTATTGTCTGTCTATTGCATTATAATTTTGTTACTAAATTAGAACATCCAATTCCGTAAACATTCTGTAGGTGTTCCGTAAATAATTATCTATGCAAATTTTTCGTAGGCAAAAACTAGGTTTTCTAGTAGTGTAAAATGGTGAGGCCGCTCCTATTGATCCATATAACTCGTTATAGAAATTTTGAAATCAATAACTTATATATGAATCATGTACTATTTAAAAATTTAATAAATTTCTACATGAAAAATATTTCAAAATATAAATTCAAGGATACATTATTTTTTACATCAAGGAAATATTAATATTAGGCTATTTGCAACAAACAATGCTTCCATACATGTACATCTTAGTTAGAGTGGTTGATTCTTGTACCAATAATAACAAACTTAATTTCTTTTGCATGAATGTATTTCACCTAATCCACCAAAACATTCATGCCGAAAAGGGAAAGAGAAAAGTAGTACTCACCCTAAGGTATGTTAGTTATGTAACAAGCGCTCAAGGGAACCAAAATCGAAATAATAATTTTCTTTTCATTCGTTTATTATTGATAATATATTAAAATGTGAAGATGACGAGGTTCATATGTTTATTTCGATATATTACAAGACGTTTACAAGAAAATAATAATAATAATAATAATAATAAAAACTATGTAATATGTTCATTATGATCTAATTAATTAGTTTTTTCTACTCTATTTGTGAACTCCACTTAAGAGATTTGAACTCTCAACTTCAAGAAGAGAAAACAACATCGGATACCGTTGCGTTACAAACATTTTGGTTAAGGTTTAAATCAACCGGTTAGCTAAAGGCAGATTACGATCTAAATCAATACTTAATTATTATTATACTTTATATATAGTACATCATCTGTACCATATTAATAAAATTTATTGATTGATTCAAATGATACAAGTCGATAAAAGATATTTTCAAAAAATTATCAAATAATATCTTTAACAAAAAGAACCAAGTCTTCGAAGCCAAATTTTTATCACGTGACATTACATTTAATTTTATTATGAACTGATCAAGTAGTTAAGTGAAACGTTCATCACAACCACATTAAACCATTCTAACTTTAATCGTGCATAATTTCATTGTGTGTCGAATGACAAAGTTTGTAGATAGCAAACATAATGAAATTTTGGCTATTATTTCTTTCAAATTATCAAGGCCCAATTAAAATAATTCCTCTGGTGCTTCAAAATTTCATGAAACTTTGGTTTTATGCTATCTTGTTTTTAGTGCATATCACATGAAACATGCAAAATTCACAAAATCATGTTGTATCTTATGAAGTAAATTTAATTTATTTCAGGTACCGATTTTTATATAATGTATCCTACTTTGTTAGTTTGACTAACTTTTACAATTGTGATTCTGTTTAAGCGAATGTATAAACCATTGTGTGGCTTCCCTCGTATGCCATTTTTACAACACAATTTGTATGTATAATCAATAAAAAATAATTAGATATTTATCTGTACGATATAAGTTTTTTTTTCTCAAACTTATTAGCAGTAGTATTATAAAGACTCAAGTCTAACTTGACATATAAAAAGTTAAATAATATTTAATCATTATCTATGCTATCAGAAGCCTTCAACAACTCTTGCTTTTGTATGAAGCATAATTACAACTTTAGTTCACCTGATTTACTAAACAATGCATCAACCTATTTGTTTCTCCCTACAAATACCCAACTTTTCTGTTCATCTTCTTCACCACTTCCAAACACCATTGATAAACCTTTTTGCTACCAACAATGGCAGCCAAGAACACCACCTTCTTCTCGCTTCTTTTCGGTCTCATTTTGTTGGGAGTATCCCATCTCAACCAGATCAATGCACTGAGTTCCAACTACTACGACCAAACATGCCCACAGGCTGAATCAACCATCACAAGTGTGGTGAAGAAAGCTATGTTAAATGATCGAAGGGTTCCTGCTGCACTTCTTAGAATGCACTTCCATGACTGCTTCATCAGAGTGACTACTACTCTTCTTCCACTTCATTTCTCCATATAATCTTTTTTATTTCTTTGTCGTATGTGAAAAAAGATCAATGTACTGTCAAATTATCATAACAGTTTGTTTGATTATTGAATATTTTATCTTGAATTCTGAAGGGATGTGATGGCTCAGTGCTGTTGAATTCAACAGGCAAT